TGAGGAACAAGTACAGCTGACGCCCTGTGAGGAGCAAATCACTGGAATTGCAGCTTCAAAATGGCAATGCTGGATAAATGAAATGTTTTGATGATCGTTTCCTCGTTCATTCCAAAAATATTCACACGGAGTGAAAAAATGCGTTCTCTGCATCTCCTTGCTTCATTTCCACAGCTTTGCTCAAAAACTGGTTATTTTTATTTTTGCTGGTTCAACTTTTCAGAACACCTGATGCTCATCGGGATAGATGCTTGTCATGTTGGAAGGGGAACTTGCTGCTAGCAGTCCAGCCCTGTTTAACAGTGGGGATAATGTGCTAGAGCTCATTTTGATTTGAACTGATGAAAACGAAGGCAAGGAGATGAAAAAGAAAAGATTGACAAATATAGATGGGAGATGAATCCTGGTAGAACGATGGGGCATGTTCTCTTTTTTTTTTTTAAGATAAAGATAAATCTTTATCAGTGTATTTTTAAATCAATTTTAATTTCAGTCTCATGAAATTATAGATTTTTCATTTAGGTTTGAAAAAGGGTTTTCCTTAAAGGTAAATAGCTATTAAAAATTCTTACAATTCACAGTTTTGTATTCAGGACAATACATTTAACTCTGGTCCCGTGTGACCCATGTATGCATCATGTGTTGTGTTGACCGGCCAGAAACCGAGCCTCTGTTCCAACATCAAGCCTCTCCAACATCCAAAAGGTTTTCTTTCTGGATTTGTGCCAATCTTTCAATATACCAAGACCATCTTCCCATAGAGAAACCCCAGAGTATGACTCCACCAGTATCATGCTTTACAGTGGGGATGGTGTGCTCAGGAGAATTTGCAGTGTTTGTATTTTATCACACAGTGTTTGTTATTGTAGGCCTCCTTCCACTTGTTTGCTGGGTTTTTGAGTAAACAGAAATCCAAAAATCTTTCTTTTTGCTATGCCTCCATGAAAGGAGTGAGAGGGGCAGGGTGAACATTCTGTTTTAAAATTGTTGCCCATCTGATTTTGCAGCAGTTTTTTTTTTTTTTTTTGACTCCACTTTAAATTTTTCTAAATAATGAAATATTTTTGTATCTTTTGCTTGAATATCTACAATAATTTCTGCATTTCTTTTTTTCATTGTGCATTTAGATACACAATAGTAATAATAAAACTAGAATGTATAATTTCTCTCTTTTTTGCAGGTGTGACGGTGATTGACAAGCCCTTATGACTGCTCTTGACTACTGCCATTAAATAAAAGCAGAGTGTTCTGCAGAATTCTGATCATGGATCTGTCTACGATGCCGATGCAGAGTTGAGCAGCAGGCACTGACGAAGATGTTGATGCTGATGAAGGTTCTTGCACTTACCTTAATTGGAGGGGGAAGGCGCTGCGACAGACGAGGTCCTCGAACCTGTGTTTTATTTCGCTCCTGGCAGGACTGCAGCAGCGAAGGGACATTCCGGTATGAAGCACCACTAGATCACTGCAGTGCCACTGAAACGCTACTGATATGAAGCTGCTACTAGTTACTTTAACATTAGTTAATTTTAACACAGACCAGATATGAGAAAGACCACTTGTCGGATCTATGGTAGAATCCAAGAAAAGACAAATTGTTTGGACCGAAGTCTGTTTCTAATTTTGTTTTATTAATCTGAAGAGTGAGCTGATGTGCTTGCATATTACGGTGCTCCGTCGTTTGCACATGTAGGCATGTGTTTTTGTTTGCATCAGAGAGTCTGTGTATGGTGAGGCCTTGTTCGATGCCGCATGAACACACTCTGTCTGACTTCTTACCCATTACAGTGTTGCAGCGAGGCCTGATGAGTGCCTGAATGTCAGAGTCCACCCTCCTCTTTGTTTTAGCCTCAGTACCGAACCAGCTCAGAGCTGGAATCAGTCACTATTTTGAGATAAGGAAACAAATGGTGACTTCAGAAAGGTTGGTTAGCTTGTGTGGATTCAGAATAACAGAATGTTAAAAAGCACTTGAACACGATTATGTACTTTTTTTTTTTTTTTTTTTTTTTGTGGAGATAAGAGACTTTGTAGAGAGAGGTGCACCAGTCACGTTGCCAAACACAGGGAAACGGAGAGAAGCTCGTAGTTAAACTGTTGGATATATCTGTGGTATCGTAACTGGGAGCCATATTTGCCGTGATTGTAAACACTAATGAAAGCAGGAGCAGCCTGAACTCAATGCATGGACTCTAGCCTGACTCTAGTCTCTAGCCTGTTAGCCAGTTTCCTCCCTTCCTTTGGTGTAACAACCTGTTTATAACTACTGCACACCCTGACGTAATATGAATGTGCCAGTTTTAATGTCTCCTCTTTTCTGTCTCTTTTTATCTGTGTTTCTTATCTCTTCTCTCTCTCTGGAAAGTGACCAAACCTCCTCTTGAGTTTCTTTCTTCAGTCTCTTTTTTTCTTTTTCCTGCAAATATTCAGAGTCGCTCTGAAAAGTAAAATTGGTATCCGTCTCTTGTGAGTGCATTGATGAATGTCATGTAGGCTTATAACTAAATGTTTTATTACATGTTTTATATTATCATTAATAAATATGCTTCTTGTATTTTAAGCTGTGAAACGCTATAATCTGTTTTTAAAACTTTGCCAAATCAGTAAAACATTTAAATTTAATGTGTCATGAGTGTCTGATTTCTTTTATTATGAAACTAATATAGCTTCTTTTTTTTCTTTTGAGATTTTAGTCACTGGTTAAAATTATATTCTTGTTACAAGTGTTTAGATTCTTGGATATATATATATATAAATATTAGTTTATTTTTATTTTTTTGCCTCTGGTTGTATTTTGAACAAATTGGGGGATAGTTAGCATTAAAAAAATGCTGATTCTTTGGACTTGAAATAATAAATTGCTTTAAAAGCTAGTTACATATGTAGAAATATTTTATTATGTAATTTGACTGATGTGTGTTTATATATATATATATATATATATATATATATATATATATATATATATATATATATATATATATATATATATATCCCAAGCCTTAGTTAGATTAAACCCAAAAAAATATCAATTGGGAAGGAAGCCAGGACCACAAATCAGCATTCCTGCAAAACAAAAAGTCAGAGCTCTATGTCCGAGAGTTATTGCTCAGGTCTTTCTGTTTGGAAGTACACAACATAATCGTTGCCACCAACAGGCATGCACATGATGTGTCACAATATCTTTGTGGTGACTTTCCATTGACTTTCATTTATTCCAAACTCATTTCTAATGCCCTACCCTAACCATTACCTCAAAAAGAGGTGATTTAACAAAGACCATCACAGCAATAAGATGTAGTGTCAAATATATTTTGTCCAGTCCCTGGATTAGGTTTCTCATTCACCAATGAAAAGCTTTAGTCTTCAGGTGAGGGGATAAATTAGGTTTCATTGATCCTACAATCAGGTTTTTTCTCCTTTCTCTTGCTCTCCCCACATTATTGGAAGAAGAGATGTCCGAAATGTTGGATTTTAATTTTGTGTTTGTTTCCAAACTTTACTAATATAGCTGATCCAGTAAACAAACAACAGAAAACAGAGCATTTCTAGAAACAGCAGTCACAGTCACTGTACAATCCTCATGGGGGGTCAGTCATTGGTCCCCACAAGAACCTATAAATCCTCAAAATTTGGCAGATTCCTGTGTAATCATCCCCACAAGCTAGAAAAGAATTGGCCACATTCCCATACGGGCGCACAGGAAACCCCACACAGACGTATGCAGAAACAAAAGTGGACTAGAGATTATTAGTCAGGTAATTTGGCCTTTATTTTTTATGAATACACAAGTAAACATTTTAACCATAGCATGAAACGATTGCTTGGGGTTATTGACTTGATGAAATTGGATTACATTGTGTTCTTGACTCTTCAGGATTCCCTCACACAGAGCATACACCAACAAAGTAGATAATAAAGATGCAGACATTTGAGACGAACACAAGAGCACTGATTCAACAAATACTTATACTAGAAAAGGTCACTTTTAACTAGCTTCATAAGTGGCTCTGATCAGGAAAGAAACTTTCAAGTAGATCAGCTCTGAACCAGTTCCCACATCAAAAACGATGAAACAGAGCCCATGATGTTGGTCAAAGTAAAAGCCCGTACATGAATGATAGAGGACTAAACACTGAAAAACAGGCCAACTCTATCATTTATAATTGAAGCTGCAGCAGCCCGGCTGATGCCTCCAGGATGGTGTCACAGCTAAACCAGAGTGACGGGCCAAAAGCAGCTTTTATGATGAGAAAAGTTTGATATTGAAGTGACAAATAATGAAAAGTGGAAGAAAATTGTAAGCTTTTCAACTGTGAAGTTTTATCAGTAGTCTTGAAAGTAGACAGGGTTTCAGTCTGACTGAGTATAAGTGGAAGTTGTCTTCACAGCAGAGCAGCCTGATAATTAAAACATCTGCCTCATTCTAGTTTTAGAAATCTGAAAATCCCTACTAATGCTTTTATTTGGGAGCAGATTGCTCTGTTTGAAACATGAGGAGCAATCATGTGTTGATAAAAATATTTATGAATGTATTACTATGGAAATTAATGGTGCTTCTTCAATAGAATTTTAATCAGGGATTGTTGAGAAAGGATTTTAAATGTTTTTCAAATTTTTCCATCGTTTTCTAACTTTATACATCTGTTAGTATTCCAAACATGTCTTTGCATTATTCACAGTTTGAAGTTGAGAATTTGTTTACGCATCTTTAGATTGACTCTGCCGTTATCGCAACAGGAACAGCTGGAGTCGGATCACGTAACAACATTAAAAAGTAATCTAGAGCCAACGTGAGACAACAAGAGTCATGACTAAAGTTCTGAGGGCAGACACCCTCCACCACCCGATATCTGCCCTCATACAGTCTGCTGGACTTAGCTAAACATTGTGAGCCTCTGATTGGCTGACGCTGCAGGGCCCTCCTCTCTCACTATCATCACTCCATTCCGTGAACCAATCAATGACGCTCCCTGGCCGTGACGTCCCCCTCGTCTCCTCTCGGCCAATAGAATTTTCCAATATTACTCTACTTCACCCTGCCGTCCTCCTCTAGCTCAGGTAGACGGGATACCCCGCGGAAAGGTGAGCGTTTGTGTTGCTTCGCTTTGCAGCTATTACTTTAACCTATTTTAGAACTGTTAGTGAATTTTATCATAGCTTTTAAAGCATGAGATGCCTTTGTTTCGAGATATACGTGTTGTTTTACGTTTAACCTCACGTTAGCTAACAGTTTGGCGTACGTAGCTGTTGCCGCTGTAATAAGAGTGAATATGGTTGTCTTTATCTTTGAATTGGTATTTTTTTTAGGATTTCAAACCCAGTGAAGATGTGAAGTATAGTTTCCTTAATCGTATTTGCAGTTTAAGTGGTATAAAGTATACGGACTATTTGTTTTGAAACTAATCTGACGTTATTTTGTTTAGGCTACTGAATTTAAGTGAGGAAAACATAAATTTTTTATTTTTTATTTGCTTCTAAGGCAGTCTTTCTGTTAAAGTGGTCAAACATTTGCTTAATAACATTACACATTAAAATGTGTACCACAAAATATCCCAAAAGAGTTTATAAACTGACAGACATTACAGATTAAAAGTTGTCTAACCAATTACGTTATTTAGAAAATTTATTTGCTTGATTAATACATCAAAGTGTTCAGAGGCTATTAAGAATTGAGGAAACAGCTTCGTTTAAAGCAGCATACAGGTAGAACATATTATTACCTATCTGTTAAGCAGAGTAGATAGAATACATAGTCTTCCTCCGCATAATGTAACACTGTGTAATTACAGAGGCTATGTAATTAATTAATTAACAATAAGCACAAATAATGGTACATCCTAGAGGCCAGATTGATATAGAAGAACACATCTGTCATCCTGAGGCTTTAGATGCAACAGGGAAGGAAGTCAGGGTCAGAAACTCATACCCACAGCTAAACATCCACCTGATGCAACATATAGGGTGTGTTAGATTATTGTGGCTGCGTCCTCCAAAGTCCCGGTCCATCTGGACTGGATCCTCCGAGGTCCATGAAAATAATGAGGCAGAATAGTTTAGCTATGGATTCAAACAGGTCCAGCCTTCTCCAGCTTTCACTGTCTGTAAGCTCTGTCGTCTAGCAAACATGAAAGTTGACACACAAAGCAGGCAAAGAATGGATGCTAAACTTCTCACTACTGTTCTGGGGGGTATTTACATTTTCAAGGAGCTTCAGCAGCAGTACCCTCATTGCGAATATCATATTTATATGACATAATCGGCCGACGAATCCGGCCTTCGGAGGGTGCTGCTGCTGGATTCGAGTCAACATTAGACTCATGAGGTATAAGAAGCAGAAGATGACCTTGTTCTGGCCTCATTTATGGAAGCCAACGCATCCTGTTGAGTCGCCGCAGTTTCTTGTTCTGAACCGATCTGATCCTGAATAAATTCTGTTTAATATTTTATTCCTTTTTTTTTGCGCTTTATATATATATATATATATATATATATATATATATATATATATATATATATATATATATATATATATATATATATATATATATATCCAGCCTCAGGTTAGAAGTGGTTTAACTCAGCAGTTTGCTCCCCCGAAAAGAACCGGAAGGGAAGCTCTGAGGCGTAGACATATTTATGAGAATATAAAATTGTTCCTTTTTTGACTACATAAAATAGAGGCAAAATAAATCACAAGCTGAAAAAATCTGATTGTTTTTTTTTTAAGATTACTTTAGGTACCTAAACTTTAACAAACGAAAGATCTTATGTAGGGATACACCGGGAAAGCAGCTGCAGACATGGAAGAATTTCTTAACCTTAAATATCACAAAGTGGATCTTGCTCCATGCATTCCCTGTCCAATATGTTCCATCAATGAATGATGAAGGATATAAGCTGGAAAATGAACAGATTTACTGATTGAAATTGAAATTGTTGTAATTATAACTGTTTGTAAGTAATAAAGTGCTTTAACATTGAAAGCCTCCATAACAGAGACCCAAATCGGTCTATTTGATAAATAATTTCACTCATTAGAAAAGATTAGTTTTCACTATTTCTGTTCCAAATGTAAAGGTTTAATGTTATGTTTATTTTTTAGCCTTTTTCCATCCTTCGTCATGGCGGCGAATGGCACTTCAGACATCTTGAGCTCGGCTTACCTTGCGGTGGAGTATGTGGATGCTGTTTTACCAGAAAACCCCCTTCAGCCCTCCCTGAAACACGCCTGGGGTTACATGCTGGACAACTACACCAAGTTCCAAATTGCCACATGGGGGTCACTCATTGTCCATGAGTTCATCTACTTTCTGTTCTGTCTACCCGGCTTCCTCTTTCAGTTCATGCCCTTTATGCAGAAATACAAAATCCAGCAGGTTAGTTTTTTGTTTTAAGCTACCTCACCTGGTTTTAGGTTTTGATGTTGATGTTGTTGTTGTTGATGGCACACATGTCTTTGTGCAGGACAAACCCGAGACGTGGGAGAAACAGTGGAGATGTTTCAAGATGCTGCTGTTTAACCATTTCTTCATTCAGTTTCCATTAATTTGTGGAACATACTACTTCACCGAGTTCTTCAGCATCCCATACGACTGGGACTCAATGCCCCGCTGGTCAGTGAAAACAACTCAAAGAATTCTTACATAAAAAGTTTGAAGCTCAACGCTGCATAATTCAGGGGTGCTAAATCTGGATTCAAAAGTGTTGACTCAGTCTTAGACTCAACTTTATTCCTTGGGATTATTCCTTCAGGGAAACTTTGGTTCCAGTAGGTCATATAGAGTACAAAGAGTTAAAGCAAGATGCCATTACAGATAAAAATATAACAGACAACATAAAAAGAGTGTATATAGTACCAAAAAAGCATAAAAATGAAAAAAGTTGTAATCTCTTGGAATATCTTTCCCATAGATATAAAAATATCTGCACAGTAGAGAGCTAGGGGAAAACTACACAGTCGTTGATTTGGATTATTGCACTTGTACTGCAGAGATGTACAACCTTGTAAATAAGTTTAAAAAAAATTACACTGTCTACACAGTAGTTAAAATCAAAACTTTTTGGACATCTCTTCCAATAATGCAGGGAGAGCAAGAAAAAGGAGAGAAAACCTGATTGTAGGATCAATGAAACCTAATTTATCCCCTCACCTGAGGACCAAAGCTAATCATTGGTGAATGAGAAACCTAATCCAGGGACTGGACAATAATATTTTACGCTATGTCTTATTTCAGCAATGGTCTTTGTTACATCAAGCAGGTCTGATGGTAAATGGCATGTGCTTATATAGCGCCTTTTTTCAAGTCAGGAGACTTGACCAAAGCACTTTACACTACATTCATTCACCCATTTACTCACACTGATGGTGGCAAGCTACATTGTAGCCACAGCTGCCCTGGGGCTCACTGACAGAAGCAGGGCTGCCATACACTGGCGCTCCGACCACCATCAGTAGACAATGCAGGTGAAGTGTCTTGCCCAAGGACACAACAACAATGAAAGTCAGAGCCTGGGCTTGAACCGTCAACCCTTCGATTTCAGGGCAAACTCCAACATCTAACGCCACTGTCGCCCTACATGATGCAGCTTTCATATGACAGTTTATCACGACAAAAAAAAGAGGATTAGTTTATATTTCTGTTAAATAAACCCTTCACTCAGGTTCATTTAAATGTGATCCATCTAACCTCGCCCTTCTCTGCTCTCCTCCAGGCCGTATCTTCTGGCGCGGTGCTTCGGCTGTGCTGTCATTGAGGACACCTGGCATTACTTCCTTCATCGCATACTGCACCACAGGCGCATCTACAAATACATCCACAAAGTCCACCATGAGTTCACTGTGAGTGAAACAACTCGCTGATAAACAAACACGCAGTCTTTACTGAGGAGTTACTTATTAAATCTGATGTCACGTGTCTCCGCTGTGCCTCAGGCTCCATTTGGCATGCAGGCAGAATACGCTCATCCCCTGGAGACTCTCATCCTGGGTGCTGGTTTCTTCATTGGCATCATGATCTTCTGCAACCACGTGTTCTTCCTCTGGGCCTGGGTGGCATTTCGGCTGCTCGAAACCATCGATGTTCACAGGTGGGAGACAATAAGAGCTTTAAGTGTTATGTCCTCAAAGATGGCCAAGTAAAACACAATCTCTGTGTATTTTGTGGTAGTGACCACTAGAGGGACAGAGAGGACTATTTTAACATTTGTAAAAATGCATGACGCCAATTTTGAAGTATCTTACTAATATTTCTTGTAGATTTTCGTCATTTATTTTCACCACTGATTAATATTGAGAGCCATTTCATTCAAAATTAAATAAATAAATAGTACTATTGATTTATTGTCAATAACATTTTTTTATTTAAGCTTTGAATAAATAAAAAAACTTGAAACATAATAAAATAAAATAAAACGAAAACTATCTTTCATTGGCATATTCATTTATTCAATGGAATATTTATTGAAAATGTATCAATAGCATTATTTATTTATTAATTTAATTTTGAATGAAAGGGCTATCCATATTGGAAAAGTAAAAATAAAGATATATATATTTTTTTTAAAGTAGGTGTTTAATTCAAAAATGTCTTAAACTACTGGAAAAAATTTTGATATTTTTTAAAAATCTATTCTCTTTGTTTATATATTTTTATAAAAGAAACTAATTACTTTATATACTATTCCTTCTTTATCTGCATTTTTTTTTTTACATTTAATTAAGTAAATATGTAATTTTGTATTATCAATAAAAGCCAATAATACTAGTACTCATTAGGGCTGGCAAATTACATTTGCAATATAATTGCAATAAAAAAAACTATATAAATTCTAAATTGCAGAGGCAGTCAATTTCATTTCAGTTTAATTACAAGTGCAAATTCACAACATATCATCTCAAGGATCTTTAAAGAGTTAGTTCAATCAAATCATAGAGATAGATTGAATTTCTTAGCATGCATGCAGCAGCAGTGGAGAGAAACAAAAAAAGTTTTAAGATGAAACTCATTTGATCCTAAACTTCTTTTAAAGACACTGTAATACACTCATTTATTACTCCGGGCCTTCAGGTGGTGGTGAGATGCTTAAAGTAGGTTTACTGCCACACAGAAGGGTGGAGAGAGTGTATGCCAATTAGAAGGGATCACTTTACACACTGCAGTCATGTCCTGTGTTATCGGACTTTGGAGCCTTGAATGCTATGAAAAAGAATTAACCCTTTAACTGCATGGTCAACCATTTGGTTGATCATGCAGTAAAAATACAATTAAACATTAAAAATAAATGTAATTCAAACATAAGATAGATAAAAGTATTTTTGGAAGCAGTTTTGAGGCATTTATTTTATAAAGTTAAACATGTGATTTATTTTATTTTGAAACAAGTGTATATTTATGTTGAGTATTGTTTATTAAGCAGGATATAATTAAACTATAGGGCTATACAGAAGGTTACTAAGGATCAGAGCAGATCTATTTTCTTACTAAATGAGAATAATTAGTATCTTAAAAATGTATTGTAATAGTGTAGTGTTATTGTGTTGGCATATTTCAACACAAATTACCTGGAAAAAGGCAAAACGATGTTAGTAGTTGATAAAAACATATTGTTTTGTTGGAACTGCTCACATGTTGAAATTAGGGTAGTTCATGAATGTGTTTCTAAAAACCATTTAAAAGGAAGCAGCTATCATTTCTGCAGTGTCACTACTTCACTTCCTTCCTGTTTTAAAGCTTTTGCTGTTCATCTTTTTATCTGAAACACAACAACATTCTGATTTGTTTCACTTAATAACGTGCCTCACCTTCATTCCTGTATTATTCCTCATCTCAGCGGTTATGACATCCCTCTGAACCCGCTCCACCTGATCCCTTTCTACGCTGGCGCCCGTTTCCATGACTTCCACCACTATAACTTTGTGGGTAACTATGCCTCAACCTTCACCTGGTGGGACAAGCTTCTGAACACCGACTGCCAGTACAACAAGTTCATGGAGAAACAAGAAGAGAAGAAGGAGCAGTAAACCAACCTCTGTGAGAAAGAAAGAAAAGTAACACCACAGCTGTTTTTAAACAGGCTATGTGGGTGAAAAGCAGGCCCGCACTGCTGTGTTCAGAATCTCAATCGGACCGAAAGTTTACCTTCTGTGCCTTGATGAATCTTAAATACGCTACTTTTATCACCAGTTGCTGGCTGAATAAAGAAAAACATCAACATCATGTTTTTTTTTCTCCTTCTCTTTTCATGATATGAAAGGAAAAGATAGTGTACCATATCACTGTTGTGAAATGCTCCTCTCTGAATGCTTAAGCACTTTAGCACTTCCTCCTTGAACTGATCGCCATCGATATGACTTAAGTTCTTCCAGTTTATTCCGTGGTGCAGTAGAGACTGTCTGAATGTGTTTGATGCAAACTCTTGTCATCTTTAGGTAGAAAAGGGAATGGTCTTGTATTTCTCTTCTGTGTTGTCATAAGAATCAAAAGCCTTTTTGATTTTAACAATGAATAAAAATACAGTTTATTGTTTCTTCTGCATTTGTGTTCAAATAAAAGTGTAAATATTCAAAACATATGTTTTGGTTGTAGTTTAACTGATTTGGATCCTGAGGTGTATATATGAATAAAAATAAAATACACTTAAAAATATGCTTTTGAAGAGATTGATTAATATCTTTGCTGCTATCAGAGAACATGTGCAACTTCATCCAGTTGTCAATTGGTCCTTAAGCAGCTGACATTTAACAGGAAGCAGAATATAAGGTTAAATATAGTGCATAATTTGAACATACCTATAGTAATTATCAGTCATCTGGGTCATGGCAATCATAGAACCACAGCTTAAATCCAATGCAACTGGATTTTGGCTCAGTTTTTATCTTAAAACATTATGTAAAAAAAACAATAAATAACTTAAGAGTTTTTTAAGTATCAGATTATAATGTCCATAGACTAATTTATATATTGTGGTTATTTTCTCTATTTGAAAAGAAACCAGAATACAAGAAAACAGCAGTAGAAAATAATGTATGAGCTAAAGAACTGTTCTATAGGAAAGATTACACAGTCAAACAAATAATACATTTTGAAAAACTTCTTTATCTAAAGAAAGTTTTGAGAGCTGATGGCCACTCACTCTGAGCCTGCTGGAGGTTTCTTCCTGTTAAAAGAGAGTTTTTCCTCTCCACTGTCACTACAAGCATGCTTGGTGTGAGGCAGTGCCTTTGAGTTGATGAGTTGTCAACTGGTTTTACGACGTGTTGTGAATTCACCTTATATAAAATAAAACTGAATATAATTAAATTTAGAGTAGCCCAACTTTGCTGTCTTCTTAGAATTTATATTATAAAGAACATTTCAGTTTTTCAAATTCTTTTTCAAACTTATCTTTCAGATCAACTTTTACCAATTGCACTGTTTTCAAATTGCGTTTTACAGATCACATTTCCTTGACTTTAAACCCAATAAAAAGGCTCATATGAGATGCACATTGACCAATCAAATTCTGATAGCTAACTTCAAGTGATGTGGGGAAAAAATAGATTTGGTGATATAATCGTGATTTTTGGCTAACTGATATAATATCCATCCTTCAGTTCCTTCTATAGATAAAAATAACCATTTTTGCCTAAACCCTAAATTACATGGATACCAAAGTAACTGTACAATCAACATCTTCTGATGAACAAATACAGTACTTTATTTTCTATACATTTTATTTTGATAGTTGGAAAAAATATTGCAATATATAGTGATGTTGCAATATCATGATAATATCACCCCTACTAACTTCAATGCAGACCAAGATGTTCTCGCTCCTCATTCCAGAGAAAAGCTCGCCCACAGAGGTGAAGAGAATGTGAACTGTGAAATGCAATTTAACCCTCTATTTTACACTCAGTGAAATACTTTGAAAATTGAAATTTCAAGCCAATAGTGTTATTGGAATCCAGGACAAGACTATATTACCTTAGTTACATAAAAAAAATATGGATATTTTGATGGTAAAAAATAATGTCAATGTAATAACAAGAAACATCCACTTGCCTGAATTTTCTAAGAAAAATAAGAAAAGTGCTTCTATAAGAAATTCATGAAAATCACTCAGAGAGTGAAAGAAACACATTTTTTTTCGTACAACCTAACCTTAGAGGCATTAATGCTGATACTGGCACTTAACACTTTTTAGTTTAGAAACTTAAATATAATTGTTAACAAGGCTTATTAACTTTTTAATTTTATTTTTCTCTTTTCAATTAGCTTTTTACCTTTTTTCTTGACTTTTTTTCTATTTATTTATCATTAAAGGGCTCATCTAATTGGTCAAATGCTAAAATAAGATGTACAGCCATGTAGCAGTATCTTTGCTGAATGGCTGGATATAGATCTTGTGCTTCTAGACCTCACTGAGGGACTCCATTTGTAAGGGGTATGCCAGGGACAAAAAACGGTGACTTAAATAAAGGGTTGAAAGAATTTGAGATTTTTTTTCTTCATTTTTTTTCATTTGCAAAGTGAAGTAGGAGTTTTTCCTCTCCTCTGTACTGTGGATCAATGCTTGGTGTGAGGGATTGTCTTCGAGTCGATGAGTTGAATTAACTGGTTGTAATTTAGAAAACTTTGAATCAGTTTGACTGTATGAGCTGGTGAACTGTAAAGTGCCTTGAGATGACATGTATTGTGAATTCAAGCTATGTAAAAAAATGAATTGAATTGGGGGGGGGGGGGGGGGGGGCTCCATTTGTAAGGGGTTTGCAACTGATCAAAAACGGCGACTTGCCCTATAAAGGGTTCAAAGAATAAAATTAAAATTGCAAAATTAAAAGGTAGTTTTTCCTCTCCACTGTCACTACATGCATGCTTGGTGTGAAGGATTGCCGTTTTTTGCTAAAACAACAAAATATGTTGGTAGCTTTATGTAACAGAAGCACTGAGGTATTTTATTTTGATCTAAAAGCTTTTATTTTGAAGTAGCCGCAGGATATGCGGGTTTGCTGTATTTACTTTACGGTTCTTTGGCTGCTCAGGTGCAGCAGCATCACGTTCAAAGGGAAGTAGAGAGAGAGAGGAGGCAGAGGGAGCGATATTAATAGCCCAGAGCGAAGCTGCTGCGCATCGATAGGACTTAGGAGCAACCAGCAGACAGACAAAAGGCTCTCCTACTGAAAGGACCAGTCGAAATGAGACCGCTCCTTTCTTCATTTCTATTAAGCGCTGCGGCGCTCGCCCTGGCCGGGGCGGCCAGTATGCGCACCGATCCAGGGATCTCCTTCGAGTACCATCGCTACGAGGAGCTGCGGAAAGCGCTGGTGTCTGTGTGGCTGCAGTGTCCGACCATCAGCCGCATCTATACCATCGGAGAGAGCTTTGAGGGCCGAGAGCTGCTGGTGCTGGAGATGTCAGACAACCCCGGGACGCATGAGCCTGGTCAGTTTTTACGCACACGCTCTGCGTCAAAATGCGCCGAGTCTATCCAGGCCATCATTTATCAAGTTATTTTTTCCCGCTGTAGAAAAGCTTTACCACTCGATGAGAGCGCAATAACTCATCAGGCAGTTTTGCGCAAAGCTTGTTTATTCTAATTTAACGCAGAATAAGAGAGAAACACATAAACGAGATGCGCAGGTGTGTTAAAACCGCGTTTCCAGGCCTCTTCTGCATTATAGCCGCCATTTTGCTGGTTGATCAGCATCTTTGAGTCGTGATTGTAGAACACCTCTACACCAAACCTCAGAAAGCGTCCCAGGGATAATGCATCAAGCATTACTCCTTTTTTCTCTCCAACAAATAGCCTCACAACTTAACATAGTGTTAGAATAAGTGGTATGGTAACCTACAGGCAAAGAGAAGCCAATAAGTTTGTGTTTTATTAAACTGGTTTTAGATTAACGGACATTATTAAAGTCATTATTAACCAATCAGGGTATCCCTTACTGATACCAATTAACCAGTTTGATCAATTTGGATATAAGACCCATAGCGCATATAAGAGAAAAACAAAGAGCAGCGGATTCTCTGATAGAGGCAGTGGTTTAGGGCTGAACTGTAAATGGATGAATTACAAGATTATGTCTTTATGCTTCTAATCATATGTTCCTAACCATCACTGGATGATTTAGACGATCAGAAGTGTGCATCAAGGTAATTAATTTTAGATTATTTGTTTAAAAAGGCTATCTTGCATTTCACAATGATGACTGATGACCAAAACTTGCTTACAACATAATTTCATAGGACCAGACTGACAACATGAAGTAGGCTAATACATTTAAAAACAACACGCCATGCTCCATTCTATGGAGATTAAAGAACAACCAGGAAAAGGGCAGTGGTTTCTTTCTAGAATATACAGAGCCAGAGAGGAACACAGTAGTCAAACCTGCTGGTGTTCTGCATCTGCTTTACGCCTTCATAATTGATTGAATTTGTCTTTATTGATGAAACAATGAATTCTGCTCAGAGAGGGACATATCTGGTCTTCTCAGTATTGTCTTACACTCCTGCTCATTTGGATTAATGACAATGATCCAAAGCGCACCAGCGTGATCCCCTTTAAAGGTTATAAAAAAGTATGTTAAGTCTAATGTGAATTAGTTGTTGTGGCGTGACTTTAAAGAGGTTATTCTTATTTGAAAAATATTGAATAAGGTTGAATAAAGAAGGGAGGATAAGCATTCTTTCCCAGTGACTCTGGTGTCCATTGTTGTCTCTGTGTTGTCCGGAGATGGACTGGTGACCCTATTAATGGATCTGATCTTTATGAAGATTTATTGTCTGACTTTTATTTTACTCTTATCCTATGACCTGTTGCTTGTGGCCATGTTGGGATCAGTATACAGTAGGGGGAGGGAAAGAAGGGGTGCCATGTGTGATTGTTAAACTAAGGAAGGCTACATCTGGGAGAATCTGCAGAAGCAAAGACCTCAGTGGAACCAGCTGTAGTTATTAAATAGTATCTCCATTTGTTGCATCATATTTAACCACCTTTTAAATTATTGGATTCTACATCTAAAATGTAAATGTTGCTTCCACTTTGTAGTTCCTTAAACATGGCCATTTATATTTTAAAAGATTGTTCCCATTAAAAAAATGAAATCTACATTAAAAACAGGGCCTTGAATTTATTTGGGTCTTCCTTTCAGTTCAGTTATTAAAATATTTATGGCCTATTCAGTTAAAAAAAAAAACACTTATGAATAAGGAATTCATTTCAGAAATAAACATTGATTCTAAATAATTCAAGTTGCTTTTGAGGACCTGTGCATATGACAGCAATTCACTGAAACCAGGATTGCTTTTCCATTTCTGTTAACATACTTACACTTAGACTAACTTTATTGTCATTTTGTATTAACAGAGTGCATACCAAACGAAATTTGGTTTTGTACAGCTCTGATGACATTTCCATTTCTTAAAGTGCAACAGTGATCAAAGTGTAAACAAAAACATGGTGTAAAGAACCCATCGATATGGTCAGTTTGATGCAGAGTCTGTGACATGACCTACATAATGATTTCCAGAGTTCATTGATTCCAAAACAATGTTCCTTCAGATTTCCAAGCTCCATGATTTCCA